TCAAAATTATTTTCAATTTCATCTTTCATCTATTTTTTTCCTAATTTTATATTAAATAATAATGTATAAAATTAAGAATTAAATTTTATACATAAATTTTGAATTTTACAAATTAATTTCGGGTATTACATATATACATATGCTTGGACCCCTTCTTTTGCTTCCAACTATTCTTTTTTTTTGTTTTGGTTTTATTTTTTTTCTCCTTTTTGTCATTTTTAATTAATTATATATAGATTTTATCATTGTTTTATCATGTAAAGAAATAATTTAGTTTTAATGGATACAAACTTACTCGAAAACACTTATATTAGGAAATAAAGAAATCTTATAACTTTTAAAATTTTCAACAAATAATATGAAAGATATTTACACAGGAGGAACGATTAATGATCATTTTGACTCCCAAAACCCTAAACAACGTAACAATCAGAAAGCTTAACTATCTACTTTACCTTTCCTACTTGAATCACAATCAATTAAATTGATTGCAAACTAGTATAACTAAAAAAAAATTAAAGAATAAAAAAGATGTCACAACTTACCCGATAAGTCAATTTTGAATTCTTGACTCAACAAAGCAGTTTGAAACTCCTTAACTTAAAAACACTTGGAGAACACTCTTTTAAATTTAATAAAAGCTAACTTGAAATGAACTAGAATATTTATTGATCTCAAAATTGAAAGTTATGATTACAAGACTAATAGTAAAGCTTTTTTATAGACTTTAACTTTTAATACGACTAGAAGTAGGATTATATATTCCTACTTGAACACTTAACCATATTTAGACTAGAAAACTTAACACAAAATAATAAAATAATTAAATTCTAATCTAGAACTTAAGAGATTAATTAAAATAATTTCTAATTTACTGGAAGAAGAATTCCTCTCCTCTGGGCTAAATCTCCAACAATTTTTGTCTTCTTTGGATATCCAATTTGAGTATAATTCCTTCTTTAATTTAACATATTAATCACATGTGGAAATTAGGAACTTGTAGACGTCCTTCACAGCTTGTAATTGTGTGAGAATAAGGAAAAGAAGAAGAGGAGTCCTCTTCGGATTCAAGTTGACTGTTGTCTGCCCATAACTAGTGCGCAAGCGTATTGTCTACGTGTATCTGACATGTGCAAGAGCTTCCTCATGCACACAGACGGCGCATGCATGCGAAAAAGGTTGTCTGCACATGAGCACTCTTGTGCAGTCCTGCTAAAGTGTGTGCCCGCGCATTCGCACTATGTTGCGTGCGGCTTTAGGTGTATAGCTAATAATGCCTAAAAATGACACCATTATCATCTAATTTTGAGTTATTAAACTTGATAGTATGCTATGTAATCCGAGTTATTTTCTATATTTTATTGTAGGACATGAGATAATGATAAAATAAGGAAAAACAACATGAAAAAGGGAAGAGTTCGTGAAAATAGTCATCAGCTCAGAAACAAGCCTTGAGTAAGACTTAGGTTTAGTAAATAGTAATAGGTCCTGCCCCATATAACTTAGCGTTGGACAAGGTTAAGGATCACGTACAATAGCTGACTTAAATGAAAATGCAAGCCTTTTAAATCTGGAAAAGAGCTAATTCTAGTTAAGATATGAGACAAAAATTAAGGAAAGATTATTTTAGAAAGTTAGGAATAAACTAAAAATCAAGAAAAATGATCCTAATCAACAAAAGAAAAAAACTCTAGCCTTTGTGGATTATAAAATCATAGTTTCCATCTAGGTTCCTTCTTCCGGAGGTCGCACACAACGATAGATATAGATCCCGCACCTTTTTTTCATCTTCCACATCTCTTTAATCTTTAAGAAGCTCTTTTGTATTGAAGTCTACCATGAGTGACTAACTTTTTTTCTTTTCCTAATTGAGATTTAGTGAACTCTAGTGATGTATTTGTGAGATCGAATTGGTTTAATCTATGTTTTATCTAAATCTTGGTATTTATTTATTTTTTGCACTTATATATATTTGCGGTCTTGAACTCGTTTGAACATGGCCCATTGAACATTAGAGAGGTAGTAAGCAACTAGCCAAACCCCTCAAATCTGTAAGTATTTGAGTGGTTCCGACACCTAGTAGTGATTAGTGTCACACTGAGGAGGTAAGTAATCTGGTTGACTGGTTCACGCAAATGAATCCGACACTTGAATCAGGTTATTCAAATTCTCAAGGCCACTGACAAGTTAAATTCTGTGAACGTTCCCAGAACTGTTTGACAGCAAAGAACTAACTAGTAAGTGTTTCTTTGTTGGTTTAGAAATAAGGAATGATTGATTGTCGGAATATTTTCAACAACTATAACTGGTTTACTATAATTTAAATAAAATAAATTCTTAAATGCATGATCAATTACGTTACTAGAACTAGCTATTTCGTCGATTAGGGATTCTTCTTATAATTAATTTAGTTTCTAACTTGCACCCAGTAGTTTGTTAATATTATTTTGCATATTGATTAATTTCTATTTTGCGTATTGGATTCTAGAAAATTTTTCTCATTTACTTTTCACTAGTCGGTCAAAGAAGAAAATTAGTTTCTAATTTTCTGTGGATGCGATCCTACTTACCATTACTATAATTTTATTTTATTGGTTAAATAGAAATTTATTTTTGGTGAATTCAGCAACTGTCAATAGCTTACTTATTCCACATAAACATGTTTTCTTGCGTGCAGGTAAGGGCCTCCCGCGCACGCAACTTGTTGTCTCATGCGAGAAAGGTTCCCATAGGTGTGGATGTTATTTCTTGCACATGTTGGTGCCCTACATGTGTGCATGCTGCCCAATAACACGACCCCTCCTTGGTCGTGACCTCCTTTGGCTGAGAGGCCTTGACACCTTCTCGGGTTAGGCCAAAAGTTGACTTTTTTGCTCGTCTTATGATTTTTTGAGCGTATAAAGTATCTCTCGAGCTTTAAGTATTCTTTGAAGAAACTTGACTCATTCTTTAGAATAATCTAAATTAGGAATGTGGTTAGAGATGTAGATTTTCCTCTGTAAGATAATCCCTTTTTAGAAACAAAAAGAATCTAGAACTGCTTGCTTATTTGGGATGAAATCTGCGAAAATCTTGATTTTCATGGGATTCCTTATTGATGTAGGATTGCATAATTGGAACTAAACTTGGGTCATCTAGGATCACATCATATATAAATGATGATAAGTAAAACTTAAAAGTAGATAATAAAATCTCTATTAATTAATGTGTAAAAGACTATGAATTATCTTCATATATTAAACAATACATTAAACTTTCAATAATTAGAAAAAGAAAAATAAGTTATGATTGAGAAGACAAAATTAAACAAAACATATGGTTAAAATGAATTAGTATGTAACTTTTATTTTTACAAGTATTCATTTCAACCGTGCTATATTTTCATTTGATTAATAAAATTTAATTATTTAATATGTAAAATAATGTAATTATGATTTATGTGTAGTACATAATTTGGTCAAGTTTAGTTGTATTTTCAATTCATAACCATAAATTCATATTCTCACTTTTTCTTTGACAGATGATTTATATTCTTAGTTGTGAAAGGAATAAATAAAAAAACAAATAACTTTCATTTGACATGCAATTGACTTCAAATTTGATCATTTTTGTTTAACAATTTTTTTTTATTATTCATATAATGTTTTCCTTCAAATTATACTAACTTAATAGTTAAATTAAACTTAATTTAAAATATTTATTTTCATTTAACATTATAAAAAAATTAGTATTAAAAGAAGTTATTTTCGATAATCGATACACACTGATGTGTTACTATATCTTTATTAGTAATTTAATATAATTAAATTAACTGATAGATTTACTAAAAGATAATATTATCAATAAAAATGAAGTATCAATTGAACTATACCTATTATACAAGATAATAATTTTAGTGCTAATACAAGTTTGATTAGAATTATAAAATCTATTTAAAATGAGATAGCTTAATATGCGGACTATTATTTAAAGTAGTGACAATAATTTTAATGGTTCAATTATTATGTTTTTAATATGACAAATATTTTACTTCTCCCATTAAGTTAAAATGATATTAATATTAGATTTAGTTAAAATTCTAATATATGCAATAAGAAAAATAATTATTTGAAAGAAATTTAAATACAAATCAAAATCTAGCTACTTTTAATTTAATTCTCTATTCAACCCAAATTAAAATGTATAGAAAATATAATTATGTTTAATTTTTACATTTCAAATTAAAAATGAAATAGAAATAAAATAAGTTTGAATTGGAGGCAAGCAAAATAAATATGAGGTTTACGGAGATTATAAAACTAAATTAGAAAAAGGAAGAAAAAAAACCTAGTTGCAGACAGGAGGAAAATACTTCAACTGTCAACGGCAGTTGCGGTCAAATTTGGAGATGAAAATTTGAAGTACTTAACATATTTATACTTATAAAGTGTATTATTAATTTGTTGGTATTTGTATTATATATATATATATATATATATATATACACGTTGATGCGATTTGAATTTGAAATATTTTACTTATACTGTAAGAAATATTTTATATTTATTTTGATAAATTTATATTTATTATAAAAGATATTTTTTATTTATCTTAAAAAATATTATATGTATATTTTATATAAAAAAATTCTCTTTAATTTTTTATATCAGGATATATAATTCTATTATAATAGTAAATTTTTTTTTATGAATTTTATATGTAAATATAGACATATTGTCAAATAATATTAAATTTTATTTTATTTTATTATAATTGTACATAGTTTAAAGATTAATTTCCAGGACAAACATCTTATAACACCATGTAATGAAAATACAACTGGAGAATATTCCAATAGCATCGTAAAGAAATTCCAATTTCTCCCACACAAATTTTGTTTTATTTCAGACTGGAAAAAGAATATAAAACAAGAAGGGAGAAGTACAGAGAAAAAGAAAAAATAAAAACAAAAATCAATAAGTTACAGGAGGAAAAAAGAGGTAATTCACACGGTGACACAGAAGTTCACAAGTCTAGATAAGCGCACCAGACGTACATGTGGCACCCATGGGCTTTCTCTGGCACCTTTTTATTTGTCTAGATCTCCCATTTTCTCTCCTGGTTTTGCTGTTTCTCTCCTTGTTTAACACTTCACCGAGATCACAGTGAGCCATTGAGAGCTTAATCGATCAAAAATGGCGTCGCATTGTATGAGGTTCGATGGCATCTTCTCTTCAACTTTCAAAATAAAATCGCTTTCAAATTCCACACATACACTCTCAGCGCCAACGCTATTATCATCTTCCTTCTCCGTTGCCTCATCGTCTCTTCTCTACACTTCAAAACTTCCACTTAGAACGAAATCAGTATCTAATGCATTCTCTGTCAGAGCTTCCTCCACTACCGTTGCCGAACCTGAAGGCATTAAGGTGCCTATTATGTGTTTAGACAAACGCGCACGCATGCATACTCTTTGCAGTTCAAATTTTGGGATTTAGTACGATGCTAACAGTTGTAAATTTAATTTACAGATTAATTCAATTCCTACAAAGCCGATCGAGGGGCAAAAGACTGGGACGAGTGGGCTCCGGAAGAAGGTATTTGTTATTTTCTTTTGCTATTAAGTGACATCAGTAATTTATATTCTATGTCAGTGTTTTGTTTTGGATTAGTTTTTCCATTTGGCTGCTTATGAAACAGAGCAAATGCGATAGGATACAATAACACTTAGCTTTTATTATTTCGAGGCTTTTCTTAAGCAATGATGAAGTTCAGTCGACGATAGGATTTTGAATCATAGAAGGATTAGGGTCAGCATTGTATGAATACTTTTTTTAATCAGTAACAAGTTGGAAGCAGTTGTTGTTATATTTATTTGTCTTAAATTCTTATTTTTTGTAGGTGAAAGTTTTTATGCAAGAGAATTACCTTGCAAATTGGATCCAGGTTGGAATTCCTCAAAATTTTCTCTCTGACTCTATATAAGTTCTCATTTATCTGTTCGTTTGGCCATGAAAAGGAAAAAAAACAACTCAGGGTATTTTGCAATTTTTAGGCATTATTTAATTCGTTGCCAGCAGAGGACTACAAGAGTGGGTTGTTGGTGTTGGGAGGAGATGGTCGCTACTTTAACAAAGAGGCTACACAGGTCACTTTCTATGTTACCCTATGCATGGATTTGGAAGTGTTTGTTTTTCGTCTCTGATTATCTTTTTTGCATGCTTTTGAATTCAGATCATCATCAAAATTGCTGCTGGCAATGATGTGGGCAAGATATTAGTTGGCAGGTGAGTATTGTCTAGAGATGAACTTGTTGAATGGTAGTCTAGAAGAAGATTGTTACTTTCATATGTTTGTGAACAAAAGAATTTTATGTATTTTGTTGAGCCAGTTAGTTGTTCAAGTGGATGGAATATTCTTTCATCATTTTATCAGATTTCATTGCACATCATTTTCTTGCATTGCGCTTCTTCACAAAAAATATTTTCATTATGTTTGGGAGGCTATGACAATGTTTGGCTCCCATATCCTTTTAGAAACTTTACCATGAATAGAAGAGGTCGTATTAATTCCTGTCTTGTAAGGAAGTGGTGACACTTTGGGGTTTTGTTCCTACAGTTATCTGTGTGTTCAGTTTTTGACAGAAAGCTTTTGTGACCTTAGCCAAATTGCTTTCTTGTCCTCACTTTCCTTTGATTATGCTTACTAGAGTTGCTAAAAATCTATGGTGATAGGTGTTCAATCCTTTGTGTTATTTTTCTCAATTTTCTCCTCCTAAAACAAAGGAAAAATCCAGGTCATTTTCATTGATTGAAACTTTAGACCATCAGTTTTATCAATTGGTTTAGTGAGCAGTATGTTGCAGGTCTCCTAGTGAATTTTTGTGGTGAATTTTTCTTCAGATTTAGTTGAAGACTTTTTGCAAAGCCTTTTTTCTTCTCCTGCTTTTTATGTTATGTTCAGGCCAACTTAAACCTGAAACCAACTGATGCAGGGATGGTATTCTATCGACTCCTGCTGTTTCTGCTGTAATCAGGAAGAGGAAGGCAATCATTGCTCTCTACCTCTCTTTTTCTCATGCATTTGTTTTACCGATTATGTTTCAAAGAATTTTTTATTTTATACATTTAGTTTACTTTATTTTGATCTCTTCATAAATCACAGGCCAATGGTGGGTTTATAATGAGTGCAAGCCATAATCCTGGTGGACCTGATTATGACTGGGGGATCAAGGTGAATGATAGTGCTTTGCTAGAAAATTCCTAATATGATAAGACTTTCTAGATTTTATGATCATTTTTGTGGTGGTTAGCAGTTTTCTAACTTTTGCGCAAAGGTCATTAAAAGTTTGAGTCTTGATGTTACTTATTACTCAATATCTAGTAGACAAATAAAAATTAAACCTTGTCGAGAAGAAAAAAAAAGAGATTATTAGTTTGTATTAATGAAGCCAAACTGCTTCAACTCTGATAGCTGATGTACTTACATGATACCTTTTTATTCCCTCATCTGTTCATTTTCTAGTTTAATTACAGCAGCGGGCAACCTGCTCCTGAAAGCATCACAGACAAGATTTATGGAAATACTCTTTCTGTAAGTATCTAATTTTAATCAGGGGCATGGACTTCATTAAGATTTCTTAGATATATGCGAAATTTTGATATGTTAATCCACCAATTGGTCAATAAATGTCTCTTGCTAACTAACCAAATAAATAAACAAGAAAACAGGCTTTTGTGGCATAGCTGTTTTGGACTAATTTCTGCTGGTCCAGATACAAAGATTTCCTTTTTGTTCCTTATCTGGACCAGTGTGTGTAAAATATTGAACGAAGTTCAGTCGGGCTTGTTAACCTTCTTAAATAGGATTGTGTAGGTGCATGTGCATGCATGCATTTGCAATTTGCTGGTTCAACTGTGAAGTATCATTCTTGTCTTCTCACTTTTGCAAGCTGATGGTCATTGCTAAATTTTTTAGAAATTGTGGATTTATGCTTTTTTAAAAAAATTTGAATGACACCTTATCTTCCGGTTAATATATTCAATTGCTACTGGATATCTTTGTTTAACTAAACTTTTTTTTGTTGTCATCATAAATTGATACTGCTGCATACAATCTGAAAACTTCCTGCGTGGAGTTTGAATTCTGTAAATGCACTGCAGATCTCTGAGATTAAAATGGCGGAGATTCCTGACATCGATCTTTCACATCTTGGGGTTACAAAATATGGAAACTTCAGTGTTGAAGTGATAGATCCGGTTTCTGATTATTTGGAGCTAATGGAGGTGGAAAGCAAAATGTCAATTACTTAGTTATTGGCATTTTAGGATGATCGTTCACTTTTCTAATCAATAAATGCATGGATCCTCTGCAGAGTGTATTTGATTTTGAGCTCATCAAAGGTCTTCTTTTAAGATCAGATTTCAGGTACAACTTATTTCTGGTAAGGAGAGTTGACTCTCTCTTTTCTTCTACTGGATGGTTGTCTTACTGCCCCTAGTTTGTTTCACTAGAACACATTTTTGTCTTGTTTGTTCTTTGGTTGGTGATAATGAATCTGACAAACAGTTCTTACTTCCTCCATATATGCGGAAGATTGTCTTTCTTTTTTCCCCTTGGATTTCATTTTGTTGAGTTATTAATATTCTTAAACTCACTGGTGAAAAAATGAAAACCTTATATTAGGCATGCTCCTATAGATCAACTTGACTTTTTGGATTTATTCCTTGTCCCTCTCCTTACTTCTCAATAAATTGTGCATTTTGTTAATTATTATTATTATTTTTTTAAATTTGCTCATTGTTATCATACTAGTGAAGTGGTTTACAGAGACTATGATGTTTATGAGCAAATTCTCTTAAATAACATTCCTGATTTTTTTTTTTTGAAAAAGATTCCCGATTGTTTTTACTAACTTTGATTCATGTGGTTTTTTGTTTTTCTTATTAGAAAGGGAAAACTCTTGGCATTTTTACTATATTTGAGAAACATATTGATTTAGGTGTTTTGAATTAAGTGTTTATGCTGTGTCACTTTTTAGGTTCACTTTTGATGCCATGCATGCGGTAACTGGTGCATATGCGAAACCCATCTTTGTGGACAAACTTGGAGGCAAACTGGTATTTTTGCACGCATATATTGAAAATGATATTGATATAACTGTTCTTGAAGTCCTGATCATGAATGTTAGACATGTCATTCAGGATTCAATTTCAAATGGAGTTCCCCAGGAGGATTTTGGGCATGGTCATCCTGATCCTAACCTTACGTAAGATAGTTAAACCAACTAATAATAAAAGTTAATGTGGTACTTGTTTTAAGGCTCATTCTACTTGTACTGCAAATAGGTATGCTAAAGATTTGGTTGACATCATGTACAGTGAGAATGGACCAGATTTTGGAGCGGCAAGTGATGGTATGGGTTACTATCGTAGATGCCATTTTTATTCAGTGCATCTTTTACCTTCTTTGTCTTAGTGTTTGGTGCATGTGCCAATGCATGCGGTCTCTGAATTAGGCTGTTGTTACCAGTTTCCTCAAGGTTGTTTTCAGCATGGAAGCAAGAAAAAGCATGGAGGAAAGGCAATTATTTGGTTTATAAGAGTTCTGACCTCTTTGCAAATATTTTGCAAATTTCTTGAAACTTCTTGTTAACTGGCCTTATAACGCAATGAGGTCTAGTCTATTGTTTTTAATTAACCCATCTCAAGCATTAATTTATAGTCAGTTGTTTCTATCTCCTGCAATATGTGCTTCTCTACGTGCATAAAATTCTTGCTGCTCGTGCAAATGTTGGTCTTGATGCATTCCGATGTTATTCAGGGGATGGTGATAGAAACATGATTCTTGGTAAGGGTTTTTTTGTCACTCCTTCGGACTCGGTTGCAATAATTGCTGCCAATGCACAAGAAGCCATTCCATACTTTAAGAGTGGCCCTAAGGTAGGAACTCTAGGGAGACTATCATTCTCATCATTTTTAAAATAAGTTCTAACATCTATTTCCAATATTCAGGGTTTAGCTCGATCCATGCCAACAAGTGGTGCTCTTGATCGTGTCGCTGAAAAGTTGAAGCTTCCTTTTTTCGAGGTTAAGCATTTTCGAAATTAATATTGTTGTTATTTTTAGGAAGTGAAGTTAATAAAGTAGGAACAGGAATTTGAATTTATATGCAATGGTGGTTGTCTCCTAACTAACGATGAGCCTGCTTGTTCAGGTGCCAACTGGTTGGAAATTTTTCGGCAATCTTATGGATGCTGGGAAGTTATCAATTTGTGGGGAGGAAAGTTTTGGTACAGGTTCTGATCACATTCGTGAGAAGGATGGCATATGGTAACAGTAACTAAGGCATCTTATCCATCCACTAGTTTTATCTTATAATGAGTCTGTTAATCAGAAGCCTCTACGAGAAGGATTTACATAGCAGAACCCTCTAGTATGAAATATTTTTTGCTTATTGGGGATTCTTGAGTCAAGCACTAAATGACTTTAATTGCTCCATGAAATATCACTCATTATGCTCTCTTCTTCCTCATCATTGTCTGTACATTTTTAAACTTTCCGAACTTTGGTTGCTCTCCCACTACAGTTCTTCTTTAGAAGCTCAAGCATGTAATGACCATTAAGGTTCTGCTTCATAAGGGAGGGATATCATGTTATTGGCCTCATTTTTGGTTGGTTCTCAATTCCATGGGAAGGGATGCCGATACTGCAGGCCTCTTGAAGGCAAGATAGGGTATTCTATGAACTTTGATTGAGAGAAAGGTTGGAAAAGCATACCGTATTGATGGGTACAATGTAGCCTCACTGAATGCATTTCATGGAATTTATCATGTAGTCTCTAATACGGTTGCTTGAATTGGGTTCTTTGCGCCCTATCCCAAATGATCCTCGTCCTTTTGTTTTCTCCTTTTTCTTTGAGAAATTTACCCAGATGCTCTTGTAGAACCATGTAACCTACGGTATCAAGATATCAATAAAATTTCCAATTAATGGAGGCTGACATCGAAACTTAATTATTTCCATTTCTTATTTTAAGATTTCATACTAGATGTGATTTCTTGACTTTGTTCTTGATTTTGTGAGAACTGTGTTATTCTTGGAAACACGTATTCCTTGAATTTGATATAGTTCCTTGTCTTTTTTTTTTTAGATTGATTTTCAAATCCTTTGCTGAACAGCTCTTATTCTTTCCACATTACAGGGCTGTATTAGCTTGGCTTTCAATTATTGCACAACAAAACAGGGATAAAAAACCAGGGGAGAAGTTGGTATCTGTTTCTGATGTTGTGAAGGGGCATTGGGCAACATATGGAAGGAACTTCTTTTCTAGATATGATTATGAAGTAAGTGATTTTTATGCATTTGAACCACATTCACTCAGTTTTCATGTTTTTAGTCTGTTTCACGTAGCCAATTAAAAGCCAGGAGTCAAGTCTTGAAGTTTGAACATATGGAAATTCTACTTCGTGAACAAGTTTGTTTTTTTATCTGAAGGGGTGAACTCTTGAAATTTAATATCTAAGTTCTTGTTCAGGAATGTGAATCTGAAGGAGCCAATAAAATGGTAGAGTATCTTAGAGATCTGATCTCTAAGAGCAAGGCAGGTGAAAGATATGGTAAGGATTTAACAAAAGCTCTTTCAGTTATCTCCTTTACCTATATTGTATCTCACTGCTATCATTTTCTTGTTTTAGGAAATTACATTCTGCAATTTGCAGATGACTTTTCTTATACTGATCCTGTGAGTTTAGTGACTTTGTTTATCAATCTCTGTTACATGTCATTTTCTCGATAGCACCATGCCATCAACCTTATCCTCTCCATGTGTGCCTAATTCAAATTGCACCTTATTAGGTGGATGGAAGTTTGGCCACAAAGCAAGGTGTTCGTTTCGTTTTTACAGATGGGTCAAGGATCATTTTTCGTTTATCAGTATGTGCTGACCTTTGTTTTCCAATCTAGCTCTGAGGGGTAGCATATGCAACTGTAGTATAACTATGACTTTCTTTTTCTAGGGAACGGGCTCTGCAGGTGCTACTGTTAGAATGTACATAGAGCAGTTTGAGCCAGATGTTTCCAAACATGACATGGATGCTCAGACAGCCCTAAAACCATTGATAGGTTAGTTAATTGCCTTCTCTATGAGTTTCATCTACACAATTTATTTATGAAATGTTCGATCATGTTTCCAGACTTGGCACTATCTGTGTCAAAGCTGAAAGAATTCACAGGAAGGGAGAAACCTACAGTCATAACATGAAGCAAACTCCTATCACCTATCTTATGTCAAGTTCCTTCTAAGCAATGCTGAAAGGCAGGTTGGGAATTCCATCTTTTCCTACCTTGATTTGTCACACATTCTTTTTCTTTGGTTTTGGTTGTACACAAAATACTCATGATATGAGGTTAAGATAAGTTATATGTAATGTAGTGCAAAATATATCATGGGAATAAATTTTCCTTCCTCAATATTAGTATTATGCTGTTTTTCCTTGCTGGTTTAATTTGTATATTGGTAAACGAAGTTCATATGTGGATGAAAGCAATAGCAGAGATAGAATTGACTAGAGTTCTGAACAATTATGGTGAGTATCCTTCACATTTGATCCATTCTTTGCCGAAAATACGTATTTTACTAAACTGTGTTTTTTTTTTCTCTCTTTTTTCATGTGTTATCAGCAATTAACCCCCTGGCAGTAAATTCCCAATGGATAAAAACCCTCCAAATTGTTGATTGTATATATGTAGGGTATATTTCTTCAGTACTATTTATAATTTGTTATATAGGTTTACCGACAAGAACCTGGACCTAGGGAATCTACCTCTGGTAAATCTCCAGTTTTTAGCATCTTCAGCAATCTTTATAATTTCTATTGCTTCTTGTCTCTTAATGTCTCCCTATTGATTTAGAAAAGTAAACAGTAATTGAAAAATATGCTTATTTACAAAAATTATTTCAGTAAACAAAATAAATTTGTGAGGCAAATAAGGCTCAACATGTTAAGAAAATAAGCATTCTAATCAAGAAAGAAAAGTTACAAAAGACTGGAGGGGTTGCTCTTTTTTGTTTCTACTTAAAAGCTGTGTATGATACGTAATAGATAGCCTGCTTATTACATTATCAAGTTAGATCTAGATAGAAAACTTAAAAACGCTGTGTATAAGCACCAAATAAATAAATTCTAAAGATATATAATTATTGTTGCATCAAATCGCAGGACAATGACCAGAACTGTCAAATATTTCCCTGAAATGGCAGGACCCATTTTCAAAAAAATTGCTGATAGGGAAATTAAGCTATAATGAGCTACAGAATACTTTCCAGAATAAAGGCAAGTCCAAATGCTGAATTAGTTACTATGAATTCCTTGGTGCATTATCATGAATATTAACGGTAATAGTTGGTACAGTAAATAACAGATTTGTGGCGACAATAATAGGTAGTATAAATAAGTAAAATTTACTGGTTATGACTTGAAAATGCTTCCTGTTATTGGTTACTAGTCTGCCAACCATTATTTTTTCAATATTTTTTTTTTCTTTTTTTTTTTTCTTTTTCTTACTTCAGAAACGTAATTGTGGTCATCCGTTGTGAAGACAGAATTTGGTGGTGTATCTGTGAGAAGCATAGATGCTACTTTCTGTTTGTCAACTTTACATTGGTTCTGTTTAGCTGATCAGGTCTCCATAATAGAAGTCATGTCCAATGGCAGGTCCCGACCACCTTTTATGGTACAACTAAGACAAGCATGAACACCATTCAAACATAATGGCCAAAATATTGTCCTTAATACCACCTAGTTTCCTCTCACCTCCAAGCCAATGGCCTCCAGCAAAACCCAAGGGACATAATGGCACAGCACGCACTCAACATGTTGGGAAACTATTTTTGTCCTTTAAACTTTCAAGTTGTATCAGTCACCTCCAGGATGCCTTCTGCCTTTCTCAGGATGTGACAATGTTAAAAAATACTCTTCGTTTACTACATCCAATACGGAACATAGGGCCCTTTTAGTGGTTCTTTTCAATATAAATGGGGTTCTATAGTTTTCTGGCTCTCTAACAAAGTACTGACTTCGATTATGTGCTTTCTTCTCAGACAGTTAATTTCAGTGTTTTTCCACCTTATCATGTTAGTTATATGTATGTTTCTCTGTTGTACTTGTATGCTACAGTACAATACACTAGATTGTATAGGAAAAAGCTAATGCAATAGGCTCTAGTTTTTTGTGACCACGAATTTCTTCAAACAAAACTCTAGATCATATAGTTGTAGCTGGCTCTTTCTCTCAGCTTTAAATATTAATGCAGTTTGCAGCTTGTTTCAAACTCAAATATCTGTGTATGCGTTCTGTCAGTTACGGATCTATACAATCTGCAGTATCTATCTACTTGGTTTGTTGAAAAATATTAATGTCCTCTGTATTACCTTAATTCTAGTAAATTATTGGGTTGAATTTACTGGATTTATTCCTAGAGTGGTCAATAAAGTACTTGTATGATTGCCTAAAAATGTGGGTGTTCCGGTGCGAAGAGAGCAGTGAAATTAAGATGTTTATCATGTTAAATGTGAAAAAGAATTTTTCCTTGCATTTAACATTCTTTTTTTTTTAAAGTTATAGGGGGAGATAGTTTTGTTGAGCATATTTTAGTGTGATCAAAACCAAATATAGTAGGATTTGGTCTACAGTTTTAACCGACAAATATAGTGTGTTCTATTGTTTTATATTTTTCCCTAGAAAAGGAATATTACACTGTTGAATGAATAACATTTCCGTGGAATTGAAAACATACTTTTGATATGATTGGAGATGGAGGCCGTTTTTTTCTTCAAAAATCTAAAACCAAAATCAATCTGGATTGTCTCTGCTCCCCGTTTTATAATGTGATTTTTTAAGTCTCCACCAGACCCACCAACAAATAATGGTGGGACAGGAGAAAAGTAAGAAATCTTTTAGTGGATAAAGAAGAGGATGGAACTGTGTTTGTCGTAATTGACACAAGACTCCTCTCTTTAACTATAGTTGTGCATATATCCAACCTTGTTGGGTCTATCAATATCATGGGATTTGCTCTGCGAGAGAAACTTATAGTTTGCCCCACCTTTTATCTGCATGACATTGTGACAACTCCACCATCATGTTAGTTGCCTGTATTAATGGACCTTGATGTTCCCCTCTCTCTCTCTTTTCCACCCATTGTCTTCTGTCCTGTTCCGGGGAATATATGATTGAAGAACCAACCCCTTTGTTATTACTAACTGTATTTTCAATTATCTGGAAATAAACTGGACTTATAGTGTTGGCTATGTACTTGATGGTTTAATTGAAACTCTTCTATTCATCATTCCATGTGATTTAAGCTTTTGAATCTTGCTTATATGTGTTGTGACTTTGATCTTGTCATATCAAGTGGCCCTTAGTCAAATCTTTGGTGCACAAGATTTTGGGGGGCTACAATCACCTTGTTGGATTTCCACTTTCAAGATCTTGCCAAAACAAGTACAGTAAATCAAAATTTACTGTTTAACCAATGTGTTGTTTGTAAGATCTTGTTAGAGGATATGAAAAACCTATAAGAAATGACTAGAGTGATTTCCTTTTGACACTGCCTGGCTGGAAATACTGTTTATTTGTTTGTTTGCTCTGATTAACTCATAAAAGAGTTTATATTATTATGTGTCGCTTTTAGGAAAATGCTATATATGTTCACTGTTTACAGAGATAGGTTTTCGGGCATCATTAACCAGAAAGAAGAGCTGAGAAAGTAATAAAAATATCTAAGCTCTTCCTTTTCTTTTTCATTTTTGTCCTGATGCTTGACTGCTTTTTATGCTGCAAAGATGTTAAGCTACTTTATTTGAAGATAAAGAGGTAGTTTCAAGTGACGCTAAACAAACACAGGATTTATGCTTTGATTATCACCCAAAAGCTAGAGCCTTATTGAGCTTTCTGTCTTTGTTTGTAGACATAAAGGCATGATCACGTTCATAATTTTAACTCGCTAATTCCTAATTACTTGTTTTCAGGTAATTACTCTATTGCCAACAGAAATGATTAAATGTCTGTGAGCAGTAGTTCAAATGGGAAGACCATAGATTAACTAAAAGAATTATACGTAAAAACTAAATTCTAGTTTTCCTTTTAAGGAAATTCTGTTTGCTAGGTCACATCAATCCTAATGGTTTAGGGTGTATCTGAAACGAAGTTAAAATGTTGTGAAATTTATTTCATAAATTCACAATTAATTTAATTAAAAAGATGGTAGTATGAGAAAAATAATTGACCCTTGCATGGAGTTTTATGTAAAATTTTTTCAAACCAAGTAGATTTTATTACATCATTTTAGGGATGAATTATATTATATTTTGTTTGAATTATTATAAATTTATAATAATTTTAAACTTGTTTGAAATATTGTCTTGGTGAATCACTGTTGAAACATGATTATGTTTTGAATAAAAATTCAATAGGGTTTTAGTTAAAAGAAATCATAGAGGTAGAACAATGGGGCAAACCTTCGGCAGTATGCAATAATGCAAAATACTGACACAAAATATCATGCTGCACCTGAACAGCACATATTTGCCCCATTCTATGTTGAATATCCATGTTTCCTATGTTGCATCAAATGGCGCAAATTTGAGCTTTTAAAATATGTAAAATATTTGGTCCACCATGCTTCTAGAGGCGCAACTTGAGCTGTAAATATTTAATATTTCCAACAAACATGTTTCTATATGGTGGAATCTGCATCGTAAACTAACATAAGAGTCTCAACTTGGACTCTTATCACGAGAATATTGAAGGCTTTTTTTTCTATTCATGAAGGCTGCTTTTCACATTGTTTAGACCAAGTTCGTGGGGATTGTTGAGTCAATATCATGTTATTCTTATTTTTTCAAAACAAATAATTAAATGTAATTAAAAAATATTACAGTTAACAGTACGAATAAATATTCCTCAGTTAAGTCTTAGCATAATTTTTTTTTTTTTTTTTTTTTTTTTTAAATTAACAACTTTCTAGTTAAATGATAACTAATTATTAAAATGTTCATGTGAAGGACTGTGCTTTGCTAATACAGTAGGATGCTTAATCAAAATGGATTTCTTAATACTAGTGAAATATTTACTGATAAGATTCTGACTTTTTAGTAGGGCAAAGGCTATGTCTATCAACATAGAAAATATATGCTTCTTTGATAAAATCAATTAACTCTAACATAGATTTTCATCTTAAACGCACAAAATTAGACTGAAATTTACAAATTTAGAGCATACCTTCTTTAACTTAAATACAACTAAATAAATACTTTAAAAAAAAAAATTATTTTACTATAAAATATACCCATTTATTTAGTAAATTTTTTTAACTATTTATTGAAAATTTTGAATTCTCACAATTATTCGGATAAGTGTTTTGTTGTTAAATGATTATTAGATGATTGTATAGTATTAAAACCTATTATATAAGATAATCGGATGCTTACATAAAGTATGTTTTTGTAATAAAATATGTTAATTTAATATCTAATAGTATTTTTAAATTGGGTTTTTTGCCCGATAATGGTAGGAGTTTTT